TTGGCTCTCAGCCCAACAGTGGAAAGACTTACATGCAGAACACCCAACCTAGGGTCATGCACCCACCTACTCTACGAGGATACACCCCTTGAAGTAATTGGCCATGGGGCACCAGAGGAACAGCATTCACATGGAGGGAAAGCTGGACAGACAGGAGTGCATAGTTAAGAAGGGCACAAGGAGGCGGGGTTACTGGGAAGGGAGAGGAGGAGAGTGGGTTAGGGTTGGGGATGGTAATTGGGAAGTGAAACCAAATTTACATGAACTGTTGAATGTAAAACAAATTCTGTTCTGTAAATTTGCACCCAAAGCACAATGAAATAAATAAAAAAGAATAAAAATAAAAACTCACAGACTAGTGGGAGATGCCTGGGTTAAGTCCCTCTGTCCCTGTCCAGGTATTATTTGTAATGAAGCAAAAGTTAGCCTGGCGAAGAAGCAGAGGAACTGTGCTCCAGAGAGGGCAGCACGTGTAAAGGTACATGTGGGGACAGAATAGCATATTTGAGGTGCCAATCTAAGTCAACATGGTGGAAGAGTATTGCATAAGCTGTGGAGTACAGGGAGAGGAAGTTAGAGTCTGGCAGGAAAGAACAGGCTCTGGGTGCCATATTCAAAAACTGGACGTTTATCCACTGCAGGGTTTTAAGCAGGGGGCAGACTTGATCCACAGGGATGAAGTAGGAAGAGAGCTGTTGCATTGTGGGGAATTGTAGTCAATGCCATGCAACAAAATGTGTATGAATTGCTGTATGGAAAATGAATTTGTTCGGTAAACTTTCACCTAAAAATTTAAAAGAAAGAAACTCACACTGGCTGTTGTGTGAAGGACAGATTTTTCAACACTCCAAGTAAGAGGTGACAGGATAGTAATGCTAAGGGCTGGTAGGAAATGGAGGGAAAAGGCTAAATTTGAGGAACAATGAGGGAATTAGAACTCCCAGGACTTGAGAGGAATCAGAGATGATTCCTGTTTTTGGCTTTGGCAACCAGGTCGATGATGGTACCATGAACTGTGAGAGGGAACACTAAAGGAGAAGTATGGTTAAGAGGGTAGGTGAATTACATTTTAGACAGGCTGAGTTTCAGGTACCTAAGGGAGGTCCGAGGGGAAAGGTCCAGGATGCAGTACAACCAATAGGTTTGGAACTCAAAAGCGAGATTTTAGCTTGGGGGTCAGGAGTTATGTACTCCTAGGTGGTGATTAGGGCTGTGAGTGCAGAAAGAAATGGCTGCAAAGAGAACAGAGCGTGAAAAGAGCAGAGGCCCTAGGAAGCAATTCTGAAGAAGACCAACATTTAAAGGAGGAAGCTGAAGAAAATGTGCCTGAGAAAGGGGCTAGGAAAAAGTGGCTAGCAACACAGGAATGGAAGAAGTAGCTAGCAATATAGGAATAACACCAGCCGGGCCAGTACCAAAAATGTTTTTCATCATTTGGAGGCAAAAAAGAAAAAAAGAAGGTGGGGACCAGGTTTGCTGGTCCAATAGAGCCTGGTGGAACCACTGAGACTATGGCCCCAAGCTGCCCTTCAGGTCTGGAATTAAACGCACACCTGTGGTTTCCAGCCAAACAAAATACAGGCATATGAGTTGAACATTTACCTCAAGTAGATACACTCCTTGGAGAGAAC